CGATCAGAGCCCTTAGTCCCTTTTCTCTCACTGCTAACTTGGACGTCTCAGCCACTGGAGCAAATTTCCGAAGGACAGAGGGGGCCTCATGGAATCTCACCACTGCTGTGCCTGGTGGAGTCGAGCATCCAGCAGGTGCTCAATAAGTGGTTGTTGAGTGGACTGGTCCTCACCACTCTGTGGAAATTATTGTTACACGTTGTTACACATATTCCTTTACACTTGGTGCAGGACAACGGTTTTCAAACTTTAGTGTGTATCAGAATCATCTGGAGTGCTTGTTAAAACACACATTATTGGGCACCACTTCCAGAGCTCCTGATTTGTAAGTCTGTGGGAGGCCTGAGAATTTGCCTTCTTAACAAGTTCCCAGGTGCTGGCTGGCACTGCTGACTTATGGAACCTGCTTTGAGAACCATTGCTCTAAAAGAACTCTTTTCTAGTGTGACTGGCACAGGTAGTCGGTGGGTTACTCAAAAATGTTGTTTCAAATGGGGAATCATAAAATATGATACATACACATTTTAAATGTTTTGTTTTAACTTAAAACATATAAATACACTGTGGTTCACCGATTTGTTGCTGTAGACTGTCTCTCAGTAGGGGTCTTCTGTGGTTCTGCAGTGTCTCCTTGCATAACCCACGCCGATTGTGCATATCTATAATTTTGAGCATAACCCACGCCGATTGTGCATATCTATAATTTTGAATTTTAGTTTCTCTAAAGTGGAGCATGAAATGAAAAATACTCGCAAAGCAGTGTGAATGCAGAAATTCTCCTACTGTTTGACATATCTTTCTTCTACTTTTTGCTGTCTCACCTGCCTGATTTCTTTTTGGCAACTTGATTTTATTTCCAAAACATTAGGCCTTAGTTTCATAGAAAGACTTCTTTCTTTTTGTACCCATTTTCATCAATTTACTTAATATTTAATTTAATTTAATGCCAAGTACAATTGGCATAAACAGATTTGGGACTCATATGTGCCTCTAGTTGATCACACGACTTAGTTGGTTGGAGCAGAAGTTGCCAAGTGGCTAGAAGTTAGCCTATGAGCCCAAGTATTCAAAAGGTTTACAGAGAGGATGGAGAGCCTCGGTTGATCTGGCGAGGGGGTTAGATGAAGGTCAGTGAAGAGAACTTCTTGTCTACTGTCCCCTGTGGGATGCCTTTCATCCAGAGTAGCCAGATATTGGAAATAAAAATGCAATATACACACTTAAATTTAAATTTCAGATAAAAACATATTTTTCCTAAGTGTGAGTGTATCTATGTAATATTTTGGATATCCTTATACTAAGGATGTATTCAAGTTCAAATTTAACTGGGTTTCCTGAATTTTATCGGGCAAACATACTTTTAACGAGTTTTTTTCTTGACATATGTCTACACCTTCTTCCAAGCCTAGTTGAAGTATACCCCCGTTCTGCATTCCTCCCACCCTTCTCCCAAGCCCACGACTTGCTCCATCCGAAAGTCCCACTCCCCCCGACTCTCTGTTCCTCCTTGGCCGGTGACCAAGTCGGGGTGCTGAGTAGCCTCTGAGCTCCAGAGGACTGAGCCTTACCCTCTCTGATGGATCCCTTCTCTCTCCCCAACTTTTAGCGCAGTGCCTCGTGTGCGGTCAGAGATTAGCCCATATTCGCTGAGTGAATTAACGAATGAGTGATGGGCCCAGCTAATTCTGCAAAGTAAAGTGTGATGTAGCCCCGTTTCTCTGCTCAAATGAGCAAGGGGGTCAGATTTAATGCTTGTTTTCAGAGGAGCTCTCATTAGGCCCTTTCTCTTTGTATTTTCAGCAACAACCACGGTAACCACTTACTGGGAGATGCAGGCGCCAACAGGTAATTAAACTCTGGGACTGGGAGGTTGTAGGACCCAAGGCCAGCCCCAAGGACTCAGGAGAGTCCTGCTGCAGAGAATCCTGCTGGGTTTTAGATGCAGGACAAGAAGGGCCTCCTCTGATGGGGTCCACCTGGGCCCTCAGCCCCTTCCTTGCGAGGTTCCACTCTGACCAGGAAAGAGGCCCAAAGTCTCCACTCCTGCCTATACGTAGCCACATCTCTTTCCTAAGATCTCTGCCCCCCAGGTGGCCCTAGTGGGTGTGCAGCAAGGGTTACAGCCACTCAGTAGGACAGCAGGGGCAGTTTGGAACAGCAGCATCGAACCGAATCTCTCTGGATGTAATCACTTATTTTTTATATCCTTTTCTAGAAGTTTTATCACGTCATGGGAATACAGTGGATACTTCTGCCTCAGGTGATGCCTTAAATGGTAACTTCTGCTCACTATTCCTCATCTTATTATAGTCCTGTGTGTGCATGAGCGTGCCGGCTTGTGCAAAAGCACAGACCATGATTTGCGCCAAATAATTCAAACGTTAATAAAAAATATCAGGAGTCAGAAAGGTGAAATGGTTAAGAGCAACTGCCTGAGTATGTATCCTGCCCCTGTCACTCAGTAGTCAGTTGATCTGGGGTCACCTTCCTGAGCCTCAGTTTCCCCACAGGGTTGTTTTGAGGAGGAACTAAGATGACGTATGTCAAGCTCTTGAATATGAGCAGAGGTTC